CTGTCTATAATCTCAGAAAGTACACACACAGAAATCTAAGCAAAGTTTCTTACAGAGCATCTGTGGGTTAGTTTGGAAATTTGAATGAACAGGAATCCCATGGGCATAAGATACAGAGTAAGGAATTGTCTTCCAGCTTGGCAGAAGTAGACTTAAATGCTGGGAAGGAGATAGGTGAATTTTAAGCATTAGAAGTAATTAAAGTTTCATTTTCAAAACCAGATCTCTCAATGGTGGATAGTTCAATTAATGGAATAATTTAACCAGAAAAGAATATCAAAAAAAAAAAAAAAAAAAAACTCCTTAAGGACTGATATGGGAATTTTTTTCTTAGGCAACAAAATCAGAATTTATTAAACTGTACTATGGACATTCTACAAGCAAATCTAATATTTAAAGTATTAAAAGATTTTCTATAGCAGTATCCAAAGGGACATTTATTTCGTGACTTCATTTTTCTCCCAGATCCAAAATCCATACAAATTAAGTGGTGGTGAAAGCTGACAAATGTTTGAATTAGCTTAACATGGAATATTTTGAATTGAAAATAGAAAGAAAGAAGATGACCTGACACTTGCCTAAAGTGAGATACTCACTAACTGTAAGCTAAATACAAAAAGTTGTTCATGAGAGAAAATTACCTTAGGAAAATTAGAGCTTCAGGAAATTTATAATGTAAAAATCCTCTGGGTAAAAAATGGTGTGATGTTTTGCACATAATAAATCATTATACAAAAAATCAAAATAAACTTTATGAGCTAAGAATAACAACTCCCATTAATTAGGGGTCCAGTGATATTAGACTCGTGCTGGACTTTGAATACATTATTCCATTTACCCACACATTAAACCTCCAAAGTAGTTGCTACTTCTCATTATATAAATAAAGATAAAGAAACATATGTAGAAAGAGTCTCCCATGAGGTTAAATGATTTGCCAGACTTGGGGTTAGTAGCCATATCTGCCTGTCTCCAAAACTCAATTTTAGGCACAAGCTAGATACTGTCCTTAATTATATCTTTTCCATGATATTTGTTGCTACATGAATAATAAAAATATATATTTGAAGGGACATTCTATTAACATTTGAATAATTTATTAAATAATAGTGATAACAGCATACAATTTAAAAGGAAATCTACAAGCACTACCCTTGTAGAGTTCAAAGTAAAGCTTTTTAGTTACTTGAATTTTGATAGAAGTGTGGTTTGCCTGAGGAGATATAACACCTTTCTTTTTTAGGTTTTAAACAAACTGAGAAATAAGATCATGAGTAAAGTATTTGGAAAATAAAAATATTACATTTTTTTTTAACTGATAAAAGCTAAGTTGTAATGGCCAAATGAACTCAGTAATGGACCAACAAATTGTTCAGAGCTACTTTTGCAGTCAAGGCACTATGGGGGGGACCGGCCACTGGGGCAGTAGTGAAAGTTCACCCTTGAGCTAAGCACTCTCAAGAGGAAAAATGGTACCTAGTTCTTTCCTTTGAAAATTGTTCATCAGATAAGTCATTGAATTCCCACACAACAGAGAAAAGGGGCAGAGAAAGGGTAGGTTTCATAGTAATAACACTGTCTTCACAGGTGGAAAATTCCAGCATTCCCCTCCAACATTCTCTTCTGCCTCCCTGGGCTTAGCTGCTGCATGTGTGAACAGGTCTCCTGTTGGAGATCAGCAGTCTAGAAGAGGTTGGCCATCAATTGACAGGGTGATTCCTTACCCCTGTCTCAAAGAGGAATTACTTCTCCTTTATTATTATCTTGAAACCCTAACGGGAAAGATATATTTTGTCTTGAGAAGGCTCTGAAGTGAGTCTTCTAGTCAAATAATTTAATTTACCACAGGGCTGCTCTATTTAAGGTTGAAGATATACTTGGTTTTCTTCCTGTTTCCAAATTGTCCAACCTTGCTTCTAATGTAACGTGTCACTAGTTCTGCAAAAAGATTTAATGATATTATTAGGAGATATAATACAATATACAAATGATGTAATAGTGGATGCTAAAACTTTGATAGAAGCCCTTTCATGCTTTCAAATTCATAGGGAGAAATTAAAAGCTAAACTCGTTGAACTTTAAGAGAATTGATGTTTAAAATTTAGTATTTTGACAGTAATGATTTAAAAGTTAGAAGTAAAAGCAATTCCCTCCTTTTATTTTTTATACTGTATCAGAAGTTTTCTCAATATCCGAATACATGAGACTAGGTGTTGTGTATTGAACTTCATTCATCTTATTATTTAAACACAGGGAATCTGTTAAATTTTCCTTTGGAATCCAGAGTTAATAGGACACACAGGATTATAATTGTACTTTCCAAACATATACCAATTCTAAAAAACAAACGAAAAAGGAAATCTTCCCAATTTTCGCAAGTAAATATTCCTCAATCCATTTTTTAGTACTATCTGAAACTATAGTAAAGACTCAGTTATTTCTAAGTGAAAGAAGAAGTGTTATCTATGGCTGCATGACAAATCAACCTGAAACTTTATACTTTAAAACAATCAACATATTGTCTCACAGTTTCTGTGTTTTAGGAATCTGAGAGCACTTTTTCTGCTTGGTACTGGCTCAGGGTCTCCCATGCAATTGCAGTCCAGCTGTGGGTCAGGACCGTAGTCAGAGGAAGCCTTGAAAGATTTATTTCCAAACATGCTCATAGAGTAGGCAGCCTACTGTAGTTTTGCTGTCAGCTGAAAACTTCAATTTGTCAACACCTCTACATGACAGTCCTCATGACATGGCAGCTGCCTTCCTTCAGAGCAGTGATCTGAGGGAGAAAAGGCAAGAGTGACATATACTGTCACTCATGGCACACTTTCTGAGTCATATATGTTTCTTCTGCCTTATTCATGTTATGACTGAGTCATTTAGTCCACTAAAGCCTGCAATGGAGGGTATTACAAATGGTTTCAAATTCCAAGAGGCAAGGAACATTGGATACCATCTCAAAGACTGGCTTTCAAAAAAGGCAAAGGAAAAAAAGATTCTTAATTTATTTTTTTATTATCAACATGATGCCACTGCTTAGCACAAATTAAGTAGAATCTCTGATTTGTTAATGTAAGTTTAATAGAGGCGAATCTTCAGTGAAACGTTTAGTAAAACTCATTTACCATCTTCGGGAGAATAATTTGAGGCAGGTGATTATTGATCTATTGCTGCCTTTCCAAACCAGGTGCTGACAATTAAAGATAGACTGTCAGAAGTACTCACAGCACACATGAAACTCAGCCGCCTTCTAGTTTAAAAGCAACTGTACCAAGGTCTACAGACTTACAGAAAAAAATCCATTTCTCACTAAAACTTAGTGTTTGTTTCTGCTGCCCTTGAGCATGAAGACCACTCACAGCAGCCACTCTCTTCTGGGGTGGTTTTCACTGTCCTGGTTTTTCATGCAAGCAAATTTCTAGGTCAAGAGGCAACAATTTCTGACTTGGCTGTGAGGGCTGCAGGTATTCACTGCCCCCCGCATCTTCATTAAGGTTCTTCTAGATTTCTCTCCCTACAAAGCTGTGTTCTCATAAGAAGCACACCATTATCTTCTTCAAATACCCAGATTAAAATACCATGTGCCCTAAGTCTTAAAGATCCTGGCTTCGGCCACAGCAGTTATTAGATGGTTGCATATAAGCCATTACAGATCTTAGTATTCTGCAAAAGTAGATGGTAATAGATGGTAGTATTCTGCAAAACTTATGACTAAAGCCTAAGCCATATGACTGAGGCCTAATTAAAACTCTCATGTATCTTTTTTTTCATTTTCCTCACTAGCTTTTCTCACTTTATCTTATTTCTCAATATTTCCACCCAAAGCACCTAATGTTGATGTCCTGAAATTTATGCCCCCAAATTGACCCTTACAAGGAGGGGACACACTGTTCCTGGAGAGAAGCAGACAGGATCACACTGTTTCTGCCCAGAGGCTCGTTCCCAAAGAGAGAAATGGAAAGCAGGCCCCTCTGCACATGCCCTTTTCTCCCCACAAATTTACAAACTAGGTAAGACTTACTTAGGTTGAGTTTGAGTTAACAAAGGTGCAAAAATCAGAAGTAGGTTAAAACTGATTGAATACCTTCTATAAGGAAGAAAATATCAGGAGTGACAAGAAAGCTTTCTCTTTTCACTGTATAATTAAGAGGCTATTTTACGCTTATATCTGAGACTTAAAGGACTAAAATATGTTTCCTAGGAGAATGTAGATTGTTGTTGTAAAATATAGCTGTGACTTTGTGACACTATAGTATCTTCACTATGAGATTTGGGGAAGAGATGAACATGCTTGCCCAGAAAGAATCAGTTTTGTCAGAGAAATCTATGCTCGCTCATTTTCCCTTTATACTGCTCATTACAGCAATCTGATTTCAAACGCCTTCCTTTGCCTGAGCCATCTTTTTAAAATGTCAACAATGGTCTCCTGAAAGCCAAATCAAATAAACATTTCTCAGGTCTCTTCCAACATGATTTCTCTTTGATATCTGAAACTGATTTTTAAAATGGTATTCCCCCCCACCAATATTTCTTTTTAAAAAGCCTTTTCTCAGTTGGCTTCCTTAACCCTGCATTGTCTCCAGGTTCTTCAGCCATATCTGTAAATGCCCCTTCCCTTCCGCCTTTTCAGATACATCATCAGCATGCATTCCTTGAATAAAGCAATTCCCTGGCTGTCTGCCCCTAGCTCTGTCTTCTCACCATCCACTGTCTATCATCACAATGTATTCTTCCTCTGTTGTGGTTTCCACACTCCCCATGAGAGTAACTATGTGGGACACTGCTAGCCTGAAACTAAACTTCCAGCTTCTTACTAAACATGTGTATATTTTCAATATTCAAATTAAATACTGTATGTCCATAAAAATCTTTATCTCTCTTTCCTTCCCATCTTCCCTCCCTCTTTTTTTCTTTCCATCCTACCTTCATTTTTCTCATTCATTCTTTCTTTTTTTAAAAAAAAAAAAAAAAAGAAAACTTGCTTTTTTTCATATAGTCCTTACCTTGATAATCAGATCTTCATTCCCCACGTCACTCAGACCAGGAACAACATAGTTATCCTTAGTTTCCAATTTTTCCTCATTTCCCATGGTCATCTGGGCAAGTTAGAAGCTGTTTATCTTAGGTATTTGTTATGCTCTCAAATGAGTTAGGCCTGGGTTCAGTCCCAGCTCCATAATTACTAGCTATGTGATCTTCAGCCAGCCGTTTAACTTCCCTAATCTTCACTTCCCCCATCTGTAAAACAGGCACAGTAAGTAGAGTGCATGTCATAGGGCTGCTATGAAGATTTATTGGTAATGTGCATGGAGTCCTTAATACAGTGAAGGACACAGACAAAAAATAAACCATATGAATTTAACTACTATTGCTATGTTCATCTAACTCTAGATTATCTTTTGAATGTGTGCCCTTCTATTATATCTGCTGCCACAGTTTTTATTAATTTCCCATTCTTATGTGCATTATTGTATCTGACTGGTCTCCTTGTTTATAGTTTCTCACCCCTTAAATCCATCGTTCATACTGTCACAAGCTTTATCTTACTAAAATCCAGACCCATTCATGTCACACTCTGCTACTTTAATGCACCAGTGGCTCCCTGTAGTCTACAAATAATGGTCAGTCCCTAGCTTGGCATCCAGGCCTCTGAACAATCTGCTTCCGACTTGCTTTCCTCCTCTCACATTTAGACTGCAGGCACACTGGACTGGTCCCTGTTTCTGAGCGTACTTTAAGAAACCCATGGCTTTTTTGCAAAATAAGAAAGATTTCACAGCCTGAATGTCTGCAAGCCTTTCACTCTTTAAATGTGAGCTACATTTCATTTCCTTTCTGCTTAATTAGCAAATTTTCCTCTTATAATCTTCATAATTTTAATTTTACTCCATAGCAGTGGTTCATACATTCATTTCTGTAATCACATTATAAGCTCCTTAAGAGCAGGGACTATGTCTAATTTTTTTGAATGTACTCATCATATCTAGCATAGACAAAGCAGGTGATTAGAAAACACTAACAGGGGCCTGGGATTTAGCTCAGTGGTTTTGCCGCCTGCTGCATAAGCTCAAGGACCTGAGTTCGATTCCCGGTACCAAAAAACAAAAAAGAAAAAGGAAAACATTAACAGACATGAATTTTTAACTCAAAAAAACATTCTAAGTTAGGGTGCTAAAATTCTGTGTTCTACTCCACCAAATTAGTTGATGCTTTGGTTGTTATTTTCCTTTTTAATACTTGGATAGTGTTCTGCAAGGAAACACAGTCTGTTACCCACAGTGTGCCATGTCAGCGCCTATGAAGCACAAAGGGAAACTGAGAGGTCATATCTTCACAGTGGCATAATGAAAATGTTAAAAATTAACTCAGATATAAATGTGAGATATAATAAGTAAGCAAACAGAAATAAAGGTTTTTAATTAAAGTGGCAAGAACAGTTACAGCAAGGATCCAGACAGACATAATTTCCGGAAATTATTATAGGTTTCTCACACCTTGAAAATCATTGGTTCTAGCTTTACTAAAAAACAGGTATGATTTTAAGAAATTCTACTTTATTTGGTATCACATAACTGACAGATCTCTTTCCAGTGTTCATGTAGTTTTAATTTTACAATCTCATTTATTGTTTGGCTTTACTGAAGTTCTAGGACAAATGCAAGACCTATAGTGTTAATGAACAAAAACATTTCTTTCTAGTGCTATTGGAACTTGATTACAGCTTTTTCACAGTGAGTACACCTCAGATTTTTAATCAAGGTGCCCATATGGTCTATGTTACTTAAAGGAAGGATTAAGAAAGACATCTCAGTGTGATGTGTTGGATCTGTGCCCAGACCCTCAAGGCCTGATAAAATAATATTTTCACTTTCAAAAGACGTGAAAATCCCATTACTGTGTTGAAACACAATTTTTCCATTTAAGTCTCTGCTCTTAAACAGCTAGCAGCGCACCTATAATTTCTCCTTTGCTTCTAGTGTCCTAATTATACACCCTCAAATATAAACCTAATTAAATAATGTTTGTCTCTAATTCAAGTACAATCATTATTATTTGCAAAAAACATAAGGTCCATGTTCATTATGTAAAAATAGAAGAATATGAAAAAAGAGAAACAAATTTTACTTCACTATCTAAATATATCTGTTCTATATATTATAATATTTCTAGATTTTCCAATGGATTTTATAAACTTTTATATAGCTATGATCAGAAAACTTGATAGAATTTTAGAGAATTATGTCCTTACTTGGTCATTTAATACTATAACAAATTTTTATGTCAGTAAATTTATTCATACATAAAATTCAACAATTTCAAAAAGTTCCATCATATGAATATATCGTTATTGTCCCATTGCTACTGTTGGATATTTAGGGGCATTTTAAAGTTTTAGCTATTATAAGTAATGAAGTACGAAATAGTTTGTGCCATTAAATTTTCATGAATACAATAAAGAGATAAATTCTATTCTTTTTGCTGTATTCCAGTGATGGCGAACCTGAAACTAGTGTGTCACAGCGTGCACGCAAAGCAAATGAGACAAATCTCTGCAGCATTGCCCCAGCAGCGGAGCATTCAGGTTTAATTGCAGTGTTGGCACTTTGTGATAAATAATTGGGTTTTGGGTTGCAGTTTTGGCACTTGGTCTTTAAAAGTTTCACCATCACTGCTATATACAAATAATCCCACTTCATGATAGGAATTAATTTGGTTACTGAGTTCAAATTGGTGTTATACATGAGGTTGAGCACACATGGGCATGTACTTCAGAACACCACTGCATTTTCCCAGAAACTGTCCTTGGTTCAGAGAACAGCAAATGCCACGGGCCATGACAAGTAGTCTTTTCCTTGACTTTTTGTTCACTAAAGCAATCTCCCTCACATGACAGAGAAAAATGGTAGAGCTTTGTGCTATGTCACTGAATCTTGATTGTGGTCTATGCCACTGCTTTTCAGGTGTTTTTATTCATGATTTTGTTATTTTAGTTTAAGTTTACTTTCAAATTCAATACTATTGCAAGCCTGAAATAATTCTGATAAAAATGTGAGCTTTTCAAAATGTCAGCATGATACCTTAATAGGAAGCTACATGATGAACACATTGATTTAACAATAATACACAGACCAATTTCCTTTGTGGAAAACCCAGGATCCAGTTAAGAAACTCCTACAACCCAGGAAAGTGCAAAACCAGTTGCACCAAAATGGGTAGAAAAATTCATGGCATCTCTGGAGACATAACACCAGGAAGTGCATCAAATGCAAGGTTTCTAATACAAAGTCACAAGGAACAAAAAGAAATAGGAAGTATGACACAATCAAACTAATCAGCAAAAATCTCCAGAAACTGATCAAAATGTGTTGCATGAATTACCTGACAAAGGATTTAAACTAAGTTTTATGATGTAATGGACGAATGAAACTATAGGCCAATATACTTGATGAATATTGATTCAGAATTCTTCAGCAAGATAAGAGCAAACCAAATCCAGCAGCACATTGTAAAGATCTTAGTGCAGAACCACATGACCTGGATTTATCATTTGTATGTAAAGGATGGTTCAACACCTAAAAAGCAATAAATGCTGTATTTTCACATTAGCAGAATGAAGAATAAAAATCATATGAATATTTCAATAGATACAGCAAAAGCATTATAAACAATTCAGTATTCTTTCATGATTAAAAACATTTAATAGAAGTAAATAACTTCAACATGAGCAATGAATGGTGCAAAACCAAAATATTTTCTCTAAGATTATGGGTCAAAGAAAAGATGCTCACTTTTGTCATTTCTATTGAAAAGAACACTAGACTGTTAGTGAGAGCCACTGAGTAATAAAAAAAATAATATGCCATATAAATTGAAAAGGAAGAATTAAAATTATCTTCTGTTCACAAATGATTTTACATTTAGAAGTCTAATGATTCCACCACGAATTCAGTAAAGCTGTAGGATATAAAATTAACTTTATAAAACAGTTGTATAGGCTAACAAAAGAAATTCAAAAAGAAAATTATAAACAATCCTGTTTAAAATAACATCAAAGCAATAAAATGCTTAGAAAGAAACTTAACTAAAAGGTAAAAGACTCGCACACTAAAAATACAAAATATTAAATACTACTGAAGGAAATTAATGACACTATAAATGAAATGGCATTTTACATTCACAGAATATGCACTCCTCAGTTTTCCATTGTTATAAGTATCTTAAGTTGATTTCTTTATAAGTGAAAGCGGTTTATGTAACTTATATTCTGGAGGCTCAGGGATATGGTACCAGAATCAGCTTGGTTAGGTGAGGTATTTATGGCAGACGTTATCACAACTGTGGGAATGTGTGTGGAAGGTGGGGATCAAATGGCAAGATAGGAAGCTAGGGTAGAGGGAGGGACCAGTTTTGCACTTTTTATAACTACTCTCTCAAAAGAATTAACTCAGGGTCCTAGGAGAATTACCTTAATCTCCTTTGAAAGCAGTGCTTGTAACTGACCTAATCTCATTCTGCTAGGCCCTAACTCTTAAAGATCTCACCACCTCTTAACATCACCACACTGTGATCAACTTTCTAACACTAAGACCTTTGGATGACAGACTATATCCAAACCATCAAAGATTGGAAGAACTTCATGTAGGGGACAGGGGAAGGGGACGTTACCAGAACCTCTGCAGTGAGTCCTGGTCTCCTGCGAGCCACGGCAGCACACGGCGAATTACAGGAAAGGTAGAAAAATGAGACTGAGAAGAAGCTGAGCTTTGGGTCTGATCAGTGCTGCTCTGGGCAGCAAAGACAAAAACCCCTAGCTTGCAGCACCTTTTATTTAGTACATCCAAAGAAACAAATGTAACAAATGAATAATGTAGATTTCAGTATCATATTGGGATGAACAAGGTGTAACAAAAGACTGGGTTGGGGGCAGCGGAAATCTAAGAACAATGAGGAACTATGCAGATGAAGATTTGGTTCCTCCCAGGGCATCTCCCACAGGTGTGGTCTTGTCCTGGAGCATTACAGCATCATGGGATCATTGAGATCTTCCTTGTGACCTCAGGCCAAAATGGAAGTATGTCTTGGAGTGTTATTGCTGGCCTGTAGGCAGGAGAACTAGGCCTACTCAAATGATTTTTCCCTAGAATTATGTAGCATTGCTCCCAACAACTTCATATTATAAAAATTTCCACACCACACAAAATAATCCACAAATTAAAGGCAATCCTTTAGAAAACTTGCAGAAATATTTTCACAGAAATTGGAAATATAGTCCTAAAATATATAAGAAGCCACAAAGGAGCTCAAATAGCTAAGACAATTATAGCAAAGAACAAATCTAGAGACCTTATACTTCTTAATCTAAAAAATACTACAAAGCTGCAAT